TTGAGTGTTAATTATGGGCAAAGCCTATAAATGGACCTTGATCAATTATAGGCATAGTGGACCATTTTACCACCATTTTTGCACCAAAACTAATAACGTTGTTTTTCAATTTGCTACGTCAGAATGTCGTCGATATCCAAAATCGACCGTTGTACGGAAAGGTCCATCCTAGCTCTACTATCTGCTTATCAAGAATATCTGGTGACATTTAAATTGATGACTTCACGAGTGGTACAAAGAGCACGATCATTAATTACGCGTATATGTGTAATTGGGGCTCAAAGGGTTAATTATTTGACTTAAATATATCCGATCTGTAAGACAGTTGAATACCTTTTTCTTTGACAAATAGTCCATTCCATCACTAATCTCCCAAGCGAACTTAAGCAGCTGCTTGGAAGTGAGGCTGGTTCGAGGTTGTACTGATGGATCACTGTAGTAGCTATCACGGACCCCTCGGCTCTTCCTCAGGTATCCGAGGACGTCACCATACTGAGCGTACTCAACCACTACCATTAGCCGTGCTAGCAAATTCAATACAACTTTAGTTTACCACATAATAGCCATTCAGCAGAAAAACGCGTTTGTGTAAAAAAGATTAGGTAAGCTATCCAAGAAGTACTCAACCCAGTGCGACTTAGATATACTGGCCTCGAAATCAGATTAAATTCGGAAATAACTGTTTCAAACAAGAAAACAACTCTTAAAGAAAACTCTAGACATTTGATAAGGCTGAAATAGAATGCAAAAGAAAAGAAGGAGTTTTTTCTGCCTAGTTTTAGAATAACCAAAACCAGCTGGCGTTGATTTTTCTCTTTTGTCGTCTTCATTGGCGATGGAAAGAGGAACGGAGAAGGAACAGTCACAATGTAAAATACCAACGATTACACGCAGGAACAATCCTATAAGTCTCACCTTCAGTGGTGACACAGCCATACAGGCATATAACATGAGGATGACGGTCAAGATGTTTGAGAACTGTCATCTCTGACAGCAGATCTCGCTTCTCCTTTTCCGAAGCGTCTCCTGTTCAACATAAACCACGACAGCTATTTGACTAAACGTAATATTTATGAGGGTAATCCCAGTTTCAAATGTAGTTTCATAATAGCATGCCTGATAACTTTATAAAAATCTCAACTTTATGGGCCTGACCACATCAGTTGGCTGCTGGGCTGCATTATATAATAGAGCGTTTTTCACTTGAGTATCGAAACAAATTTGCATTTGTTTTGGCTTTGCATTACTGCGCCAAGCGATTGGCTTGAAAATCTCGCGCCACTTTGTCCTCCAATCAGACGTAAAACCAAAACAAAATCGCAACTTACTTGCACACGTTTTCGAAGCTTCGCGTTCTCTACGTACATTTATTTGCTTGAAGTTTTGATTGGTTAGTGATTTCTTTGGTTGTGGTTTTGCGACACTCAATTGAAAACTGCTCTAGTGGATAGATAAATGCTTAAGAATCTGTTGCTATTGCCTTCATTACAAACTTGGATCCTTGCTCTCTAAGTCCTTTCACATGAACAGATATCAGCCAATTTTGTTACATTAATGCCTTAGTTATACCAGTTAGAGGGTAAAATAACGAAAAAAATGACCTTGAATGCTCTTTACTGCTACTACAGTCCATCCTGGTTTCCCTGGCAAATCCAGGACCAATCCACGTGATACCACGCCAAAAGCACCACGACCAATCACCTTCTCTATATTCAGGTTTGCACGCGGTATTTCCCATTCAATATCTCCAGAGAGTGATGGATGTAATGTGAGAAAGCTCGCCTCGTTAGAATGCATTTCAAATGATGGACTGAGAAAAAAAACAACCAATTGTCGTAATCACTGCTGTCTAGTTGTTACTATCTTTGTTCACTTTTCTGAAGAAGCTGAAGGATAGTAGAATCAGGTAAAGTTTAATGCTGCAACTGATCCTCGTGAGACGTGTTTTTTTTTTTTATAATAGAAGGTATTCTAGGTGAATATATGATCTTTCATATATTCGCTTGTATTCTTCACCATCTACGGGTATATTACAAACTCACAAAGTGACCAGCTCCCAGATGGCTTGATAGCTCAGTTGGTAGAGCACTGCACCGGTATCGCAAAGGTCATGGGTTCGCATCCCGTTCAGGCCTGAATGTTTTTCAGGCTTTAATTTCACAACTGCTTTTAAATTTTAAAGTTGTGTGCAAAACTGCGATGATCAATCATGTCTTCATATCTTTCTCCTCAGTTCAAATATATGATCTTTCATACATTCACTTGTAGAAGGTATTCCGTGCATGTGCGTAGGTTTTCGGTTTCTTTCAGACTGAACGTCATGTAAATGTTAGAGTTGTTTACTTTATAATATGAATATAGATATCACCAAAAAGGTACACGAATACAGGCCTTTAACTCGATAAACTCGATATTTAAACATATCGAAGAGAGGAGAGTATGGATAGATATATTCTGACTTAGAGTAACCGAGAATCAAACTAATGTTGACTGGTATTGCAGACGTCAAAGACACATGTTTTAATTTCAGAAATACATACGCATGATTTTCTTGGGCATCGTCATCTGAAATGGTAAAATTAAGTTTGCATGAGTCATAACATATCGCAGTAGATGTCGCGACAAAGATTGCTGGTCTGCATGTTACTAGTTACTTACTTTTATGGTGATTAATCTGCCTTCTGGATCTCTTGGCTAGGTATCGGTGAATTAAAAATGCACAAATCACGATTACGGCTACAACTGGGATGGTTAGCAGGTACTGGGTGACTGTGTCTTTGGCATCTGTTTACAAAAGAAATACTTTTGGTAATCCTTTTACCCTGAGATTCAATCCAGCTCCCAAACTCGCAATGTTTTTTTACTTGAACTGGGCTTGTTAACCATTGTTGACGTCTTCAGTGCATAATCCACATTGTTCATTCATCAAATCTTACATTACTACGTTGCATAAAGGAAAATTGAAAATCTGGCATTCACCTTTCACTTGTGCGGAAGCTGCCATTTTGTCTCTATCTTGTGACCCTGTAAGTTCAATAAAATATTTCTGTAAAGATTGAACACTACTCTAGCTATGATTTGCCATCATGTTTATTGACTTGTACTTAGTATAAACCACAGCGGTATAAAATTGACGCAAACACAGTGAACTCGAAATTATGAGCTCTATCTTCGAGCACATACAAAATACGTCGTAAATCCTGGATCTACAACTATACTGTGACATTACAACACCTAGAACTCGGTTCACAAACAGTTTCTCTTTTCCTTGAAAACGTAAAACTACAACTGACGAGACTGGACTGGCACGCGATGACAGTGAAGCTTAAAACTCACTGAGTGTTACATACAAAACCGAAATGTGAGTGTCAATATGATCAATGTATTTCCATAAGATCGATACGATCGTTTCGATAACTGTAGAAAAAGGGCAGCGATCCTTACGACTACCGATTTCCATATTTTCCATCTCTACGATCGTCGAGCTAAGTCTATATCAGCGACCGCTGTCGCAACGATCGCTACAATCGCTGTAGTATAGAGTGGTTTCCTTATGATCGCAAAGGTCGCCGAACATTTTTGCAGCGATCGCGGCAGTAATTGCGGTAATCGTAGCGATCATGTAGAAATAGCCGTATTGGTTTTAAAAACCGCGCGTCATTTTACCATCCTATCAGAAGTAAAACCAAAAAATCGGGACTAGCTTGGAAACGTTTTTCAGCGCTTTGCTCTAAAGCCATATGCAAACAAAAAATGTGTAAACTACAGTGTATGAAGATGATGAACAACCACAACATTTTTTACGCGATTAACCTGTGAAACAGTTAATAAAAAGTACACCTTTCACTTACCTGTCTCTTGCAAGTCAAATGTTGCCGAATCCCATCCAAGTCGGTTCTTTGCTGTGCACACATAGCTTGTAAAGTCACCATTACTTACAGGAGTGACTGTCAAAGAACTTGAGTTCCACGTACTGTTGAAACCGTCACTGATCTCATGTTTCCCTTTACGCCAAGTAAACGTCGGTAAAGGATTTGCAGCTGCTACACACTTAAGCGTCGTAGAATTCCCTCTTTGCAACTCCATCGACATTTGCTTATTGCGAGGTAAATGAATGCCTGGTGTATCTGAAAACAAATTCATTTGTGGCTATTAACATATATTCAAATGCACCCAGTCAGGGCCACTCTTAAGTACACTTTCTGTACATTTCAAGGTTAACAGTAGCCGTGGAATGTAAGCTCATGAATTTAATCAGAATTTGTAAAAAAGGATTACATTTTGAAATAATAAATCTAAATAAGTAAAATACTTTGCATCGTGTCAATACTGCTGTTACACACAAATGATTAGTTCAATAAAATTTTTGAGGTGTACAAAATCGTAACAATCGGTGTTCCGATGGAAACAATGAACAAACAACTCAAGTAAGCCATCAACTTTTACGCGACCCAAGCTGGTTATATAAAAGTTGACACCGTTATCTTTGAGAAATGGAAAACATGTTCCGTGTTTCTATCATGTTGTATATGCATGAGTGTATGTTTGGGAGAAAGAGAAATGCTGTGGGAACAAGAGCTTAAGAATGTAGAGCAGTGAGTAAAAGTTATTTCACAACCGTTAATTCAAAATTTCCAGGTCGTCTTTTAATTGTTGACATACTTGAGAGAATTTATTTTTGTGTTTCATGACTTACCAAAAAGATAAGGAAAGTATTAAATATATACAGCCTTAGCAACTTATTTGGCAACCGTTCAGTTCTAACAACATCTAAATATAAAAGAAACTCACATAAAACGTCAACAGTAGTGATGGATGAAGTGTGATTGCCATCATGAGACAGTGAGACACAGATGTAGTTCCCGGCGTGTGTTCTGTTTACATTCTTTATGTATAAAAACTTGCTTTTTTCTGTTTGCACAGGAATGCCGTTCCTAGTCCATAACACGGACGAACTTGTTACCTTCCTGTTGCGACACGTGATGTTAAGTTCATGACCTTCCTCTACATACCGAGTAATGTTTTGAGGTTCTATACAATAAATGATATACTCTGTTTAGTGAATAGACCAAGAAATAAATAGGATTCTGATAACATTGATATCTCTTTAGATTTCTATCTTTGGAAACATTTATCTAACAAATAAAAAAAGCCTCAACTGTGCTCTGTTCTTTTACAAGGCACGCAGGAAACGGCTAGGGCACGAAAAAATTGTAAAGGAAAACAAGAGTCGGCAGGTGAGTGCTTGACTTTCTCCCTACTTCTTGAATGCCCTCCACTTCCTGAGTACTTTATAACGGAACGAAGTATAGCTGAGGCTTATTTTTGGGTTTTATGATAAAGCTTACACATTTTCTTAAAAAAATCCTTCATTTTCAATGAGAACGGGTTATTATATAATAAACAATTAGATTATGAGCTCGAGATTTCTATCGCGTGATAGTTGACGAGGGCGCAG